GTCAGTGCTGGGGGAATGGAGGGGCATGGTAGGAATCCTTGCTGGGAGTAGTGACTGCCGGAGAAGATCGGGAACTGATCGCTCAGTTCTCGATCAAAAGAGGCGACGTGACAGCTTCAGTGTCGTATGTCAGCTCTAACTATTGGGATGAGTGTATTCCACTCCCCCCATGATTCTCCTTTACCAGTATTGCTTAAGTGCACTGCAGAAAACTCAATTTACCAAGCTAGCGCTGCTGCCTGGCAGTGCTGAGTAAATCTCAAGACTGAATAGGCAAAATGCAAATAATTGGCGCCTAAAATGGCAAACCTGTAATAATTTCAGCTGTGTACTTAGCCATTTTCCTGGCGTTCAGATTTTACTTAAGCTTGGCATTCTCCTTTAAATTCTAATATTAGGCAATATGTAAAGAGAAAAGACAATAGAATGACAGGACTGTGGGCGACAGCCCTGTTTAATGATGGATGGGAACAAGGCATGAGTTACCAGCATAAAAATAAAACCTTCAAGTCACTCCATCCAGACTGAAATAGATTTGCTGAATCTCAAATCCCACACATCTAATTGTCAAAAAAATAGACGCCAAGTGTGCCACTTGCATGTTAAACAGGCCGCCCATTGTATTCCGGCTGCAGGTTGATCATTCATTATGTTCTCCCAAATAGTTAAACTGAAGGACAGAATGGAATAAAACGTAGACTGCTTAATACACTGTGTATTTAATATGAAAATCATCCATTATTCATGGTGGAATTTGAATAACTTTGAATTTAGCAGTCCTGCTCTTCTTTTCACTTTGATGAACAATCAATTATTAAAAAATTGATACTGTCGGCATATGGTGAAGACTTTTGTACAGTCTGTGCATTTGTCCCTCTGTAGTTCTCCTATAGAGTCATACAACACAGTGCGATGAATTACACCTTCATGATTAAAGGGAAGTGATTGCAGGAAAAAGGAAAAGCACTTCACAATTGACAAGCTCCACCGTTGATGTTACATATGTGTCATCTCAGTTTAAAGTAGGACTACGGGCAAAAGCAAAAAATACATGTATGCTGCAGCCTGTCACTAGCATTAACACAGCAGTATTCCCCAGCAGTCCCTGCCTGTCATCTAGCTCCTCCCCCCCCCCCCCCCTTCTATAATTTTTTTCCCC